TGCTGATGGAAGACAAAAATGGTTCTCTAAGATGACTAAAGTATAGTAGTTTCCTTTTGAAGGCGGCAAAGTTTAGACGCCATTTCTTGCCCCATCTAACGGGCATTATGGAGGGTTAACTGCCATTATTATTTTATCTGACCCAACGGACGTACGATTAAGATCGGAATAAATAGAAGCATCATCAGAATTAGGAACGGATGATATCGGAAGCGCCTTTGATAAAAAGAAAGAAACTTGGGCCAATAAGACATAATTTAACAGAGACGCTAAATTCTAATTCCCCCGACTCCTGTATAATACTACTAACTCAAACTACATTATTATTATCATTATTATTAATATTAGTAGTAGTAGTATCAATAGTAATAGTGTAGTAGTAATCAAAACACCTGCTAACAGTCTGAGTGTATACTAAACATATTGCAGCTAAATAGACGCAATATACGACAGGTTTGGATGAAACAACGCATAAACTAATAAGATAATTTCCCATCGAGTAACCCAGTCCATTTAGACCAATGGTTCTCAATCTGGGTCAAGTATTAAACTCTTCAGCAGCAGGTGAAATTTCTGGCAAAACCATCCACTCAGCACCTTAGAATTTAATTGTTTAATATTTTCATTAAATTAGTTTTGTTTCAAAATAAAGTATATTATTACTTATTTCCATGTATTTCTATAATACAAATCTTAAACTTATCTATTAGTAATAAATAAATAATCTTTTATTCAATCTGCTCCGATTCTTCTCCAATTAATGCCGCTCATAAAGAGATGCACAGTCTGCTAGTAGCTTGGAGACTGGTCAAACAAATGTCAAGCAGATCTGTTGTACTGAAAGAGATATTTAAGACAAAGCATGTAGATATTAATACCACCAATCAATATTAATATCAAAATACATGTGAGTCATTCTTAGTATAGCATCAAGGTATTATTATTATTATTATCATCATCATCATTCGATTTCTGCTATGGACACACTACCTACCAAGTCTGCGGAAAGACCTAAGCAGGTCGTGGTGTGTTGTTATGGCCACATTTCATGTTAATTTTTTTTTTTTTTTTTATCTCCGATGAAGTTGCTAGCGTTACATAGACAAAGTTCTCCTTAGTGTGTGTGCTGTACTTAATAAGACAATTTTCTGTATGTCTCTTAAGCTGGGGTTTCCAGGGATTCTTTCAATGTGTTGTTTTGTTCCATTTTTATAATTCCAAGTGCACCTATTACCACTGGTATTATTCTTGTTTTCAATTTCCACATTTTTTCTATTTCAATTTCAGGTCTTTGTATTTTGATAGTTTTTCAAATTCCTTGGTTGCTATGTTACAATCCGCTGGACAAGCCATATCAATTAGTAGGCAAGTTTTTTCTTTCTGGTTTTTTGGACAATGATGTCCGGCCTATTTGCTTCAATTTTTCTGTCTGTGTGGATGGTATAATCCATAGAATGGTGACATCTTCTATTTCTGTAACCGGCGCTGGCCGATGTTCATACTAGTGTTTGCTTACACATTTTCCAAAGTGTTTGCACATTGTCCAATGTAAGTATTGCCCCACTCTATCGTGACGATTTTTATATTCATTTGGGGCAAGTATAGAACATCCTGAGATTAGATGGTCTATTGTTTCTTGGTATTTGTCACAGAACCTGCATTTTGGATCCACATTATTATGTATGATATTTGCCTGAAAATTCCTAGTGAAAAGACTCTGGTCTTGCGCTGCAGAAATAAAGCCTTCAGTTTCAGACTTTAATCCAGATGCTCGTAACCATCGATGAGTATTAACTTTATCAACATTGGGTTTATTTGCGTTCTGGATAAAGGCCATGCAGAGGTTTGTCTTGCCAGCGTTGTTTCATCTGTTCAAGGGCTTTATCCTTGGCTTTCTTTTTCATATCTTTTGCTGCAATAGTTGGTTCTTGGCTTCTGTTTTGATTTACTACAGAATCTACTAAATGTAAATGTTGTTTGTATTTACTGCCTTCTTTTATTATTGAATATTTTTCTTTCTGTTTTCATGTTGTTTCACTAATTTTATCATCCAGTCATTTGTTGTTTCCATGTAAGTTAGTAAGCCAATAGTTGTTGTCTTGTATGACAATTCTAGCTGAATAAGACCTCTTCCACCTTCTTTACGGGGTATGTATAGACGGTCTACATCAGCCTTTGGATGATGCATCTTATACTTAGAAAGAAGCTTTCTTGTTTTAGAATCCATTTGTCTGATGTCATTTAGAGTCCAGTTCAAGATGTTGAAACTATATTGGACCACTGGGATGGCAAGGTTATTAATAGCCATAATTCTGTTCTGAGAATTCAATTCAGTTTTTAATACCAGTCGTACCTTCTATAGTACTCTTTTACGCACTATTTCTTTCATTTTCTTATGGTGAATTCCTTCCTCTCATTTACACCTAGGGTACTTATAAGCTTCTCCTTGTTCTAAATCTTTTATTGTTACAGCAGGGTCTAAACTAATAGAGGAAGTTTGTTGTAGCGATCCTCGTAAAACTGTAGCTTTAGCACATTTATCCAAATTGAATTTCATTCCAATGTCTTCACTGAAGCATTTTACAGTTTGCAGAAGACCTTCCAGCTCATTGTCATTCCTAGCATACAATTTTAAGTCATCCATGTAAAATAGATGGTTTATTTTTCTTTTGAGCTATTTTGTAACCGCATTCTGTCTTGTTAAGTTGGCTGGTTAATGCTATAAGTGATATGCAAAATAATAAAAGGAGACAAAGAGTCACCTTGAAATATTCCTCTATTGATGTTTATTTCGCCAGACTTATAGGTTCCATTTTATTCCTGATTAGAGTTTTCCATATCGATTTTATGATTGAGGTAAAGTGTAGTTTTCCATATCGACATACATTGTTTGATGAAATGTTTTTCTGAGGTTTGAGTAACGCTTCATGGAATGCAGTCATAACAACTTTGTACTCCTCACGAGACCATTTTATTTTTTCTTTCCTTAAATTTACGGTTATGGATCTAGCTGGAGAATTTACAGGACCATCATTAGGATTATCCTGGTTGTGGGGACCTGAAGATTCATTCTTTGTGTTTTTGTTCCTATGGCAGATTTTTCGACCTCAGGTAGGTTCCCTCCTGAAGGACGGGCTCCCTGTTTATCCACTGGAAGAGCCATACTGGACGTTTTGTTTCTATTTTTAATTTTCATATTAATCCCACGAGTGACGCACGGGTCCAAAAGTCCACCCAAAGTTGCCCGGCACGTTGAGTAACGGTCTTTTACAGACAGGGTTCCGAAGCCTGTAGGGGATCGTTCGCGACCTCATAACGCAGTAGCCATTCCTCCTCGGCACGATTAACACCTTTGAGTTGCGGGTTGTTGTTCGAGGTTTCCTTCTCCTAAATGGGTTGCCAAGCAACAATAGACAGAGACACGATTGAAATCAAAGAGAATGACGCTGGTTAAAAAAAAAAAAAAAAAAAAAAATAAAAAATAAAAATTTACATTCGTTTGTCTTTGCTGTGAAATTTAAAAAATAATTTATTGGCCCATCTGTAAATTCCACGATATTCCTTCTTAGAAAGATTGCATTTTCTTTTCATAAATTCATAAATGTAATATGTAAATGTAAATTCCGTTATTTTTAAAGTCGTTGAAAATAGCGTTGTTTAAAAAAAAAAAAAAAATGCAATCCTTCTAAGAAAGAACATCGTAGAAATTGACCTGTAATGTTTTTTGCAGGGGTGGATATTGAAAACTAAGGGATATGTGAATAAAAATTAAATAATTGATTAATCTATCAGTAGTATTATTTAAATTAAAGAATAATAAAATAAATTAAATAATAATAAAACGAAGAAAATTTCATATGCGTTAAAAAAAACGCTAAAAACATAGTAAAAATAAAACATCACTACAAAATTTCATATTTTTTTTTTTTTTTTTTTCGCCATCACTAGTCCTGGTAAAACAAAAATAATCAAAAAACAAAAACTACACTAGAGAGAGTATTTATATTAAATTTTTTTTTTTTTTTTTTCGCCATCACTAGTCTAGTCATGTGAAATTTAAGAATAATTTATTGGCCCATCTGTAAATCCGTTATTTTCAATTATTTATTATTATTATTATTATTATTATTATATTATTATTATTATTATTATTGATTTCTGGTGTATACGCAATTTTTCCGGTCCCAACCAGAGACTTAAGGCCAGAAATGACATCCTTTCCAGTGAGAATTTTAAATAAAAAGACCTAAGATCACAAATAATTTATATAGATAAATCTCTTCGTAATGTTGAACTGTACTTGAAAGATTATTTTGTATCTCTTTAAGGCTTGGATTACCAGGGAACCCTTCAATTAGTATATCGTAATCTTTTTCAATCCATCCGGGTGCTACAACTGGAAATGTTGATGTCCTCATTTGCCACATTTTTTTTTAGGTTTTTATTTTATGGTCCTTGTATTTTGACAATATTTTGAAGATATTCAAAGATGCATTACAGTCTGCAGGGACTACAATGTCAATACGACGTCATTTTGTTTTTGTGGTTTCTGATCATTATTATTATTATTATTATTATTATTATTATTATTATTATTATTATTATTTTTATTTTAAAAGAATTATCGTAACAAAGTCCCGGCGACTTTCGTGGGTACCAGCTGATCCATCATGCCGAAATATATCCCCGCTACTATCATTTACCAGATGGAAATTCAAGACGTATTAATTGATTGATTCGATTTCTATAGAATGACGCTTTGCAGGTTATTTAAAGCCAGAAAATATATTTAAAATGTTAGATTTGGGGGTGTGATAATAATGGTTTATTAATACACGTCTTACTAATTAACCCATAACTAGTGGAGAAGAGGTTGATTCATACCGCTAGGGTATTTGCGCGTAAGTGAATAGAACGAAGCCAACGGAAATTGGAACTCTGCACTCCGATCAACAATTCCGAACCATTACGCATTACACCACCAGCACATCCAAGCTAATAGTACCTTGTATTCCCAAGAGGTCACATATCTAGTTACTAACCAGACTCGACGTTGCTTAACTTCGGTGATCGTATCGGGACTGGTGTTTCAACGTGAGGTGGGTGTAAGCCAAACTCCAGAATAACTGAATGAAAATGCCAACAACAGTAAAGAGAAATATATTCGTCATACGTAGTGACTAAAGAAGATTCATTAGTGATGGACGGTGTGAGGTTTATGGAGCATTGTAATGCTAACTTGCTTTTTATATACAGTAATGTTTTCATTTATACCTAAATTGCTTTTGTAGTTCTTATTTATTATTGGTAGATTGCTCCATACGTAAATATACTAAAAACTTTTCTGATGAAATGGAGTTGTGTCTAATTAGAACCTGACTGTGTTATGTTTTCAAATATGGTAAACATTCATTCGAAACTTAACGTCATTTTTCATTTTTAATTGATATTTGAAAACTGACTTTTATTTCACTGTTTAGGTATCTGTGTGCTAACAGATTTAATATCTCTGTTAGTAAAGAAGAGTTAAAATTTGATGCAGATATGAAAGCGCCAGTTCTCATTCGAACCCGGACTTCAATTCGACGTGTTACATGTCTTATTTTATTTAATCGTCGTCTCGAACAAAAAAGTCAAGTAAATCGATCTCACTGAACTCGTTATTTTATAGTGGAGGCAAATCGATCTTAGGCTCTCTCATCTCTCGGCCTACCGCCTTGGGCGGCTTAACGATTTTAGCCTCCACGTTACACACTCGAAGTTGTTCTAATTCGATCGAATTTGTTGTTGTTGTTTTTTTGTTTTTTTTCTCGTTCTGAAGATAAAAGCAAGAGAGAGAGCGCTCGGAAATGTGTTGTCATGACTGCTCATCTAAGTATGAGTGAAGAAACGAACGCACGAGAACATGTCAGTATTAAGCAAGCTTTTCCACCAAGTTTTTTTTTTCCTTCTTTTTATTTACTTCGTTATTCATTTGTTCTTTCTGTTTTAAAGATGGGCGGACGTAGATATCGGGGCGGTAAACAGAAAAACAAAATGTCGTCTTATTCGACTTCTATTTTTTTTTCTTCCTTTTCAGCTCTATGAAAATATTGATTCAAGACTCCCTTCCATTAGTTGACAATAGATGAATTCCTTTCAAAGCGGACGTTTCCACGCTCCAGTTTTGAAAAGAGAATTTCCTCCAGAAAGAAACGCCCGCCTCACACCACTTACGACCAATATTTCTTGACGTGATACACAAAAATACACAGTAGACGAAACAAATCCTTTAAAAAGCACTACTTTTTCCAGAAGGCCTTTTAGTTTCTTCTTCGATTTTGACAAAGTATATTATCGTATAAAGTATATTATCGTACAGAAATATACGTGCAAATTGAAGGAAGGAAACAGGTGATCTTTAAAAGAGAGTTGTTTTCTTAACTATTCGAAATGTTTCAGTGTGATTGAATGTGGGCAAAGAAATAGATATTATTGAGCGTGAATGTATCTCGGATGATACCTTTACGGGTTTAACCATTACTATTTCGTTGAATATACTTTTTTTTTTAATTCTTTAAAATTGGGCACTGTGTATTATTATTGATATTTATTGTGACTTTCTAAATTGATAATACAAGAATAATGGCTGGCCGATCGTACACTAGTATGCTTATCTACTCGGACGGCGAAACAATCCCTGTTGCACTTGTACCCAGAGAATTCACCAGTGTTTTTATACTGCAGCTATGCTGAGCAGTTCTTTTCTTAGAGAGAGAAGCGGAGAAGTTTTAATGAAAATGGAAACAAAAAGGACAATTATACTGAGAAGCAGAAAGGGACCGTTCTAATGTTTCGAACACTATAATGAGGAAAGGTGGGTTGAAGAATTTAGCACTTGCAGGATACCACGAAGTCAAGAGAGTCAGAGAGAAACACCGAAAGAATAATAGGAAGACAGCAACGGACAACCTTGCTAAGAGGATGTTGTGAAGGGCTACGACTGCCTTTGTCTCGAAGAAGCATGGGACATAAAAGAAGAAGAAATGTGTATCTTTATAATATGGGCAGTTTTTTCTTTTTTAGCCAACTATTTCTGGCAAGATATTAGAGGCTCTAATCAACTCTGAATTGGTTACGCATCTAACATCGGAGGGCCGTCTTTCGGACATGCAATATGGCGTTTTGCTTCTCTAGGTCAACTGCTGAGGTATTAATGATTATTGCTAAAACAGTCTACCAAGTATTCGATAAGAATAGTGAGGCGCGGGCTGTTACTTTGGATATCTTGAAAGCTTTCGACAGGATTTGGTATATCGGTCTTCTTAACAAACTGAAAGCTTATGGTATTTCCGGACGAATTTTTTTTTTAACTCAAATCGCGAAAGGAAAGTTATCCTGAACGGCCACTGTCCTAAATCTTTTTATACTAATGCAGGTATCCCCTAAGGATCTATTTTTGGATCTTCTTTAATCTTAATTTTCATCAATGACATTACTGATGATATCAGTTCTCAAAGTATAGTTGAGAACTGATATCATCAGTAATGACACAACTATTTACTCCTGTTTCGAAGTAAGTCTGATCAGTTTGATGATGTCAAACTGGCAGCTGAATTAAAAAAATACGTACAATTTGCCGTTAACTGCGGCAAGGAATTATTTGTTAAGTTTAACGTCTCGAAAACGAAAGTTCTCTCTTGTAATCATCCGACAGAGTCGTTTCTGTTTCCCATCAGGATGGTTGCTGCTAACCTCCAGAAGAGTGCTGTGTTGCGCCTTTTCGGGCTAACATTCGCGACTCACATGAAGTGGAAAGATTACATTGAATCAATTGCTAGGAAAGTTGGTTCCCTGTGTTTTGCAGACATTTTTCTCGCCAGAATCTATCTTAAATAGTTATAATTCTACCGTTCATCCATGCATACAATATCGTTACCATATATCGGGTGTTACTGCTATTCGTTTAGATTCCTTATAAAATAAAAAGAAGAATCAGCAATATTATTGGTCATGATCTGGTATCTCAACATCAGTCAATTTCCTGCCGCCCTAATGTTGCACCCCTGTGTCTTTCCTATCAATACTTTCATTGTAATTGTTCAGATAAATTATCAGCTATGTTACCTATACTTTATGAATTTAAGCGCAGTACTAGATTGGCAAGAAGGTCTCATCAATTCAAAGGTGAATTGGCTAAATGTAACCGTAAGTTTTATAACAGTTTCTTTTCTCGCACTTCCCGTTTGTGAAACTTTCTTCCGGCTCCATGCTTTCCCGCCAACTTTGCTCTTTAAAAATTTAAATGCAATCGTTATCTACTATCTTCTTGATTACTTTCTATTGTTCCAGGTCCTTAATAACGTTTCTCTATTTTAGTGACTTTACTGCCTTGCATGGTGTGAAATAAACTCCCTTATCGAACTTAGATAACTTTCCCCAACTTTCTGTTTAAGCCAATCTCTGGTAGTCTTCTCAGGATGTCAGCGACTACATATTTTGTCTAGATATCTGTCAATGGGCATATTATAAGAAAATGTAGTCGTGCATTTTCAAATAAACAATAAAGTGATTTTTAATTGTTTTAGCAGAAATTCAAATTCTTCTTGAGTGATATTATGACTCGTTTGTCATCAGCTGGCATTTGGTAAGCTATATTTCTAAAACTGTACAAGCACAAGACTACATGATTGCACATTGACATAGAAAGAAAGAGATTTGCTTAGATAGGAGACTAATTTACAAAAGCTGTACTAACTAAAAGTGATTGTTTCTAAAAGCTGAACATAAAGGACAAAACCAATATTTGCATTAGGACTAAACTCCTCATCTTTGTCGTTATCGCAACTTTTCGAAGCTGATACCATCCGGGCTTATTCAGCTGTTTGTCTATCCAAGTACCCTTCAGGGAATTTTGAATTGTTCAGTTGATTTATTCTAAGGGAGAAGATTGTCCTCGATCCGCTCTACATGTCTAATGATATCTCGTTTGATTTTTATCACCCCCCCCACAAAGCAAGTTAGGAATGCCACTAATATACAGGCGGTTACAGTGAGTGTAAGTAATAGAAAAAAAAACTGCGTATAGGGAGGATCGAGGAAAGGATAAAGGAATAAAGGGATTCAAGAAAATAGAAGATGGCGATTGACGTTGCATTTAAAATTTTGAAGACTTTAGTTTTTCACGGAAACAAGTAAACAAAAAGAAGTTCCACAAGCGGGAAGTGCGAGAATAGGAACTATTGGAGTAGAAGAGGCGATTACATTTAACTATTTTAACAGTAAAAGAGTGAGAAATAAAAGCCACACGCTTAAATTCACGTAGTCGGAGCACCAGGAGAAAAAGCACGTCAGAGCAGTTGTCATGAAAATATTTGTAGAAAAGACAGAGGGAAGCCACGTCATTTTAGTGAGAAAGTGACTGAATTCAAGATATCAAATCAGGATCGATTAACATTGCAGATCCTTCTTTGGTCGTTCTGTTTCTACCGAATCTAAGTACTCGGTAGTACTCGGTCCAGGGTTTGAACTCAGAATTACAATGCCGTCAAATTTACAAACCAACCACTAATACACTAGGCAAATTTCAGAAAATTTATTGACAGATACCTGAAGAAGATCCGCAAGGTAGAATGACCGAAACGATGCCATAATAGCAAAGACGAAGAGTTTTGTCCGAATGTAAATAAAGTATATCATGATAAATCTTCACCTAAGCAATTAAGAAAATTCAAGAAAGACATTTTTACGTACCTTTCTATTTTTTAATAATTTTCCTCTTGTTTCTCCATTCTTCCAACAGAGAAAATTTTTGCTAGAAAACGTACTCGAAAGTTAAATCAATGATAAACTGATTTCCAATCAGCAAAGAAAGGAATTAAATAAACACGAAATTTTAAAAAAAAAAGTCAATCAGCGAGAATTCGTCTTTCCACTAAAGCAACCTTTGATGCTTATTGAATTTGCTTTGTAAATGTTTATCGAAGAAAAGAAATTTGAATTGCGTTTGTTGATATTTTTCGGAATTAATGGAAGCTGCACGTTCCTCATAATCATTAAAATGAATCGAAATGTCGGAATAACAGGATTGGGAAGAAAGACGCGGAAATCATCAAA